AAGCTCTTCTGTCTTCCACTCGTTACTTGTATTAATGGCACCTGTTTGAACTGGTTATCTGTATAAAAGACACCTGTCCACAGCCTCTAACAGTCAGACTCCAAACTCCACTATGGCCAAGACCAAAGAGCTGTCGAAGGACACCAGGAAAAGAATTGTAGACCTCCACCAGACTGGGAAGAGTAAATCTACAATAGGCAAGCAGCTTGGTGTGAACAAATCAACTGTGGGAGCAATTATCAGAAAATGGAAGACATACAAGACCACTGATAATCTCCCTGGATCGCAAGATCTCACCCCGTGGGGTCAAAATGATCATGAGAACGGTGATCAAAAATCCCAGAACCACACGGGTGGACCCGGTGAATGACCTGCAGAGAGCTGGGACCAAAGAAACAAAGGTTACCATCAGTAACACACTACGACGACAGGGAATCAAATCCTGCAGTGCCAGACGTGTCCCCCTGCTGAAGCCAGTGCATGTCCAGGCCCGTCTGAAGTTTGCCAGAGAGCACATGGATGATACAGCAGAGGATTGGGAGAATGTCATGTAGTCAGATGAAACCACAGTAGAACTGTTTGGTATAAACTCGACTCATCGTGTTTGGATACTGAGTTGCATCCCAAGAACACCATACCTACTGTGAAGCATGGGGGTGGAAACGTCATGCTTTGGGGCTGTTTTTCAGCTAAGGGGACAGGACGACTGATCCGTGTTAAGGAAAGAATGAATGGGGCCATGTATCGTGAGATTTTGAGCCAAAACCTCCTTCTATCAGTGAGAGCTTTAAAGATGAAACGTGGCTGGGTCTTCCAGCATGACAATGATCCCAAACACACCGCCCGGGCAATGAAGGAGTGGCTCCGTAAGAAGCATTGGAAAGTCCTGGAGTGGCCTAGCCAGTCTCCAGACCTCAACCCCATTTAAAATCTTGGAGGGAGTTGAAAGTCCGTGTTCACTGCTCTCGAGAAGATCTGCATGGAGGAATGGGCCAAAATACCAGCTGTGTGTGCAAACCTGGTAAAGACCTATAGTAATTGTTTGACCTCTGTTATTGCCAACAAAGGTTATATTACAATTATATTACAGTATTGAGTTGAATTTGTTATTGACCAAATACTTATTTTCCACCATAATTTACAAATAAATTCTTTGAAAGTCCTACAATGTGAATTCCTGGATTTTTTTTTCACATTCTGTTTCTCACAGTTGAAGTGTACCTATGATGAAAATTACAGACCTCTGTCATTATTTTAAGTGGGAGAACTTGCACAATTGGTGGCTGACTAAATACTTTTTGCCCCACTGTATATATATATTTCTTTATTTAAAATATTTTATAAATTTTTTAGATTTTTAACATTCAACCAGAACAACAAACAAACAAAAACGTATAGAAATATATCCATTTGAATGTCATTAATGTTAATATAATGTTGTGCTTATATTTTGCAATAATATCGTTATCGAAGATTTTAAATGTTCTAAACTACAGCACTGTTTCCACCAGCTACTCTACTCTGCTCTATTTGAGAGCGGTACCAGGCACTTTTTAGTACATGCTTGGGCCTGGTCCTATCCAGGCCGAGCTGGATGTCAAGTTTGACATGTGTGTGGCATCCAGTGGGTGGGGGGGGGGGGTCCCGGCTCAAAAGTGGCCAAAATGATGTGCACTGACATGCTTGTAATACCACCCCGGGCAGATGGGGGTGGACCCGGAATAAGAATTAGCCAATGCTAACATAAGGCATTAGGTGACCTCTCGAAAACGTCTTTACATGATGGTCCAAAAGTTGGCTCTTGGCCCAAAGCTCCGTTCCACATGTGTGTCAATGCTGAGGGGAGTGAATTTTTTTGGATCACTCTGGTTTAGTTGTTGTGAATTTTTGAAGGCACTCTGAAGCTCTCGCCGGCCGACGCATGTGCAGATGCGTTTTTTCACAATTTTCTTGTGGGCGGGACCACTCGCGGACATTTTGGATTGCTCCAGTAGAGCAAATTTTTTGGCCCATTAGTTAGAACGGCAGAGATAGGCGTGACATTGTCCGTTAATATATACAGTCTATGGTGACATCACATCTGATTTGGGTGTCTCTCACTGTGGGGTCTCTGTCTGTGGACCCTCTCTCTGCTGCTGAGGCCTGACTCTCTACCAAGTGTTTTCTGTAATCTATTTATATCTTGTAACTGTTTAGTGTCAATAAATGTGTTTGAGCCACATGATGACAGAAATATTGTAAATCCAGGTCAAACAAATTTGAATGTTTGCGGTTCTTCGGTTCAAGACCATTTGTTGAAGAATGAGATATATATACATATATGTAAAGGATAACGTATATTACGCAGGTCATTATCGGAAAATAAGTACCGACAGGGCGAAGCGGACCCCGACGCGCGGAGGGGTCTGCTTCCGCCCTGAAGGTTCTTATTTTCCGATAATGACCTGCGTAATATACCTTATCCCGCTTATTATACGGCTTTATACCAACAGAACACATAACATTAACTTCAGTCCACTTTTAGGAATGCCAAAAGGTTTATTTAATGACAGAAAATAAAATAGTTCCCAAAGGCTTTCCCGTGGCTATGCTAGCAAGTTAGGCTGGCAACTTCCAAACTAGAACTCTCTGGAACTGCCTGAAAACTGAACAAAGAATTCTGAACATCAGCGGTGAGTAGGGATGTAAAAAACTATGAATTTTCATGACCGACCACCGAGCCTCATTAACCGGTTGAAACCGGTTAACCGCGTAGTTTAAAATAGTCCACGTTCTTTGAAATAACAGCCATTTCGAGCTGCGTACTTTTCATAAGTGCAGCTCTGCGTTCTACTGGATCAGAGCCGAGACAGCGGCGCCAAAACCCACAACAGCTTCAGCACCTTTGCGCACAGAGAACTGCTGTTTTAATCTTCCCATTCTTCTGTGCTGCGGCTTAAAGAATTTTTAAGCAAAAGACAGCTCGTCCACATGGTCAGGGCAGCGAGTGACGAGCCGCGTCTCGCAGGTCTCCGCTAAAGTTTAAAAGTGATCAGTGTGGAGCTGATGCCAAGGACCAGCAGCACAAACATGGTCCATGTGGTTTGACTGGAGCCGTGTATTTGCAAGAATGCTTTGGGCTCCGTGACACAGAGGAGCGCGACAGACCGGTATGTGTGTGTGTACAATACATGTATGTATGTGTGTATATGTCTGTGTGTGTGTATATGTAAGCTATGTGTGTGTGTGCAATACATGTATGTATGTGTGTGTAAATATAAGCTCCAATGTAGTTCTGACCCGCACCAGTGTGCAACTAGCAGACGGTAACACAGGGGAGAGATGATGCATGTGGATGTTACGTGTCAATGGAGGGGGGGGGAATGTGTGTGTGTGTGCGTGTACATGTGTGCGTGCATATGTGGCGCGTACGGCGTGAGAGTCGGCCCAGAGTTTACTGTTACATTGGTGCACACAGCTAGATAGGGACCCGCTCGTCACATCGTGCAAATAGGGCTTAAAATAGCGTTATGAAGAGACCTCCCCTCTCCCCCTTTTCTCTTTTTTAACCGACAGCTTTGACCGGTTAACGCTGTGACGGTCAACCACCGGTTAAACGGTCACCGATTTACATCCCTAGCAGTGAGTGACCCATACATAAACCTAACCTAAATCCATAATTCGATCCTCTGCAAATGTGTCCGAAAATGTGCCGGTATCTTAAAATGTGCCGGTATCTACTTCCGGGTTTTTCAGGATTGCCTTTTCTCGCATTACATCAGTGTTTTTGTCATGAAAACGGAAACGGAAAATTCTGAAAACTTCCGTGCACTTGTATTAAGACTGGATATGTATAATTCACTCTCCGATTAACATTTGATTGCGTTGATTGATTGGCATTTGCGTTTATTGAGCGGCCGGAACTACTTCCGGGTTTTTCACGATCGCTTTTTGACGCAGAGAAATAGTATTTTTGTCATGAAGACAAGACCAGAAAATTCTGAAAATTTCTGTGCACGTGTGTGAAGAATGTATATGTATAAGTATTCTCCGATTAACATTTAAGTGTGTTGATTGAGCGAGGCTAGCTCCGGAGTGGCCGGAACTACTTGCGGAGTTATCCACGCATTTGAAAGACAAGCAGAGAGTGCGTTGCCATGGGCAGCGGTCATTATTGTTTTGAGAGGTCCGTTACAGAAAATAATGACCGGTAGAACGTTTTGAAATTACATTCAAATCAATGGAGCGTTCTGCTGCTGCTGTGAGGAGCCGTATAATAAAAATATATAAATCGACAAAATGCTTTCCCAATATTGTTATGAAAATACCAGTAATAATTACCAGATCAAATAATAACTGGTTTGAGGCACTCACTGGAAAGATCTGCAGATAGCCCACAAGATGATAAACTTGCCTTGCCTAAAAGAGGAATCTAAGAGCATCCTGCTGGTCTTTGTCATCTTTTATTTGAACACAACAACAAAAGGCGTTGGTGTTTGCAAAGACATCAGCAGAATGGACAGATCCAACTGATTCCACTGTTCAGTCTTTTGTTGAGTTTTATGTTTATTTATAAATATATATATTATGTCACTTACAGCAAATGTACATCACTTTCTTTATCAGTATGGATTCAGTTTTGATTAAATTAAATATCCTATATCACAAGAGCTGTCGTCTTGGAGGACTTCACAAAGTTGTCATTTCACCCACAACAGATCAGGGAATCAAACCGAGTGAACACAGGAAATGCTGAAACTGTAAGCAACATCATCAACAACAATAGATCGTGGGGAAAAAAGTGAGAACCCTCTGGGAGACCCACATTGAGGGAGGGGGATCTGCTCCCACAGACGGACGGGCTGCAGATCCAGGACTGAAACAGGACTTGGTATTTGTGCTATTAGTGAACTAAAAGTAAAATAACGATCGATGTCAGGGGCAGCATGCTAAGCTAAATATTTCTCATTAGGTTAAAATTCCTTTATTCTGGGAAATTTCAATTTTATTTGTAAACTCACCTGCAGACGGCCTCCATTCTCTTCGCTCTCCTCGGACGTGGTTTCCTCCAGTTCAATCCCAAATCCTGGATCTGGCCTCGACTCGGGCTGGTCTCCCCCAGTTTCCTGCACGCTTATGGGTTTTGCTTGAGCTGCTTTTTGAGCCTTTGCGTCTGCCGTAGCTGTAGTCTTTTGAGCCTTGTTGCTTCTCGCAGGTGCAGTTTTGGTGTTCAGCGGTAAGGCAGAGGGTCTGGCGGGTTTTTGAGGGATCGGCAAAGCGCTGTGGACCGGTTTGGGTTTAGGAAGTCCCGAATGCATCTTAGTCCCGACCAGGAGCGGTGGCATCTTCAGGAAAAAGAGGAAAATGTAGAACTCCTCTGCTTCACAAGCGTTTTTGGTAAAAGCATCAGGAAATGTCACTGTGTTTTATGTATACTTCTGAATACTTTTAAACTATATCAGATCAGGTGAAATGTTTGATTTATGTATTTTATATGGGAAAGAAAACACAATTTACACATTGCAATACAGAATCGTATCTGCAACCGTCAGAGACAAGTTTTAGGCAACATTTTGGATTCTTGGAAATGCTGTTATATTTCGAAACCTTTTATTGTAAATCTATTTTGATTTCTGAGGCTGGTTTTAAATGTTTTGCTTTGGAGTCTAGGTCCAATCTGTCGGTCACAGCAGGAGGTCAGACTTAAGGTGGACACAACTGCACCTGTTCAGGGATTCCAGCCAACACCTGTGCCGCCTTAAGAGTGTGCTTAGAAAAAGCTGGATGAGAATAAAAGATATACGTCCCAAGAAATAAAATTATAATTTATAAAAATAAATTAATCAAATGTGAAAAAACAATTTAATCATAATTGCAAGGTTATTAAATAATAATACATTTATTTAGTAAAATAATGTGAGGGGTATTTTTTAGTTTTGAATAAAGTCTAAAAGGGAATTTTCCATTTTAAAAGGAATATGTAAAATATCCAGTAAAAAGCGTAGTGATTTTTTTAACAAAAAATTAGGCAAATTATTATTTAAAAATACATTTTCGTTTATCTAAAACATATCTTAACACATACTATAGACCATAAATGTTTGAAATTAACAATTATTCCATCCTATTCTATCATTTGTTCAGTCACAAATGTATGTCTTACCATATTTGAGATAAAGGTAAATCAGAAATATTTAGCTGTAACTAAATGTTTTTTTTTAAATTTGTATTACAATTTTAGCAAAAATTTTCCCAGATGCTCGGGCCACTATTTGTACACGCTGCTGTCAATAGAGAAATCCAGGCTTAAAAATGAAAATAAAACAGTGTATTCCATGGTCTTCTCAGCTGCAGAAGATATTACTCCGAATTTTGTGGATGCTTCCAGGCTTAATTAGAAATAAAAAATAATGGGATCCAAATCACAGACTGCCATTGTATAAAGCATCACGTTTACATCACTAAATGCTTTATAATCCAAATACAGCTGGACTGCAGAGATTCACTCGAATGTGACATGTCCAGAACGCTCCAGGCTCAATGACAGAGTATTCACTGTGAGCGCCGCGCCTCCAAACTGACAATCCCAGGTTCCAAAACGTAACGTAAGTCCAGGAAAGAGGGCGAATTGCTGATGTGTGCGCAATGTTTTTGCCGAGCGCTAGCCGGTGTGTCCGCTGTGGCTGCTGCCGCCTGCTTTTTCAGTCGCAGAGAGAAGGAGAGAGGAGGATGAAGAGGAGGAGGTCTGTGCACACGTCACACGCTGGCTGGTCCCTCCCTCCTCTCACCTCCTCCTCCTCTCCTTCAGTGCTCAGTCAAGTCCTTGATTCCTTTCCTAGCTCCTTGGCCTCTTGTGTTAGAGAGAGACAGGTTTAAAGAGGACATGAGATCTAAATAAAGGTAGAAGATATTGACTAAATAATTGTTTAAAAATAAGGTCTAGTCGTTGGCCTGATGTGAAATGGCAGGTGAAATGGAGAATTTTAATGTATTGTGAGTGAATGATTTTTAATATATTGTATCTGAATGAGTGTGTGTACGTGTCGATTTGTCTGTGCGTGTTTGATTATGAGACTAAATTGACAACAAAAATACTAAATGCTTCATTTGGACATTTGCAGGCTCTGTTCTTGGAGATAGAGACAATGAGATAGAAAGCTAGAAACTGCGAGATATTAATAGACAGAACACTAAAGACAGCATGGGTACTTTATAGATGTCCTTGCTTTTGTCTATAGAACGTTTGTGTTCTGGATAAAGCCTAATAAATAGTAAACTACAGAGAGCACGAATACTAGGACTGTTAACAGGTGCTGAAGGCCGACCACAATAAGGCCTCTTGATTAAAAAAAAGAATGGTTGTGAATAATTGATGGACAATATATTAAATGTTTTGTGGTAATATAATGGCAACGATATTTAAATAGTACATTTAATCCATTAAAGTAAATGCTTTGTGCAAATAACACGTTATCGTTCTCTTATAAATAGCTTAATAATTTATATTGCTCATTTAATATCAAGGCCTATTTATCAGAATGTAATAGACTTTTAGAACAACCCAATTAGAGAAGCATTTGTTCTCCAGCTGAAGATGAGAGCAAACTGTCCAATTAGAGAAAAGCCTTCGTCCCACCGGGGTGAGCCCTGGAGAGCCTATGCAAAGATCCTGTAAATGTGTGGGTGGAATATGAAACATATGGAGCACTGTGCGTCTGCTGTAACAGATATCTGCCATCTATAACCCCCCAAGCCCATCACTATATGCTAGACACATGTTAAATGTGATTATTGTTTTAAAAAAACTGTGTAGAAGGATTCTGTGGACTGGTCTCCCCCGCCCGGACTAGTGGGCTGCACCCCGCCCGCCTAAGACCCACGAAGTCCTGAATCTACAGCCTCAGTCCTGGATCTACAGCCGCAGTCCTGGATCTACAGCCACAGTCCTGGATCTAGAGCGTCAGTCCTGGATCTAGAGCGTCAGTCCTGGATCTACAGCCTCAGTCCTGGATCAACAGCCTCAGTCCTGGATCTACAGCCGCAGTCCTGGATCTACAGCCTCAGTCCTGGATCTATAGCCTCAGTCCTGGATCTACAGCCGCAGTCCTGGATCTACAGCGTCAGTCCTGGATCTACAGCGTCAGTCCTGGATCTACAGCCTCAGTCCTGGATCTACAGCCTCAGTCCTTGATCTACAGCCTCAGTCCTGGATCTACAGCCTGTGTCCTCAATGTGGGCCTCACTTCCCCACTGTTTTTTTTTTCCTTTTCCTTTTATGTTCCTTGCGGATACAGGAGGGTCTAAGGACAGTGATGATCCAGGAACATTTATTGACATTTATTGACAGTGGTCATCCCGCTCCCTATGGACTAGTGGCTTCTATGTCTTTGTTACTATTGCATTTCCTGTGTTAGAACGGTGTGATTCTCTGATCTGTTATTGGTGAATCAACAACTTTGTAGTACTTTGTAGACAACTGCTGTTGTGATTTACTTAAAGACATTGAATTGAGTAGACTAATAATTTGCTGATTGTGATTTTTATAAAGGAGGTAGAGCCCTCTCTCAATTGACTCAAGTTTCCATTATGTGAGTTTAGATCATGGTTTTTCTGTTTCAATAAAAAAGTTTGAAACGGGAAGATGGAAGTTAAACGCTGCTGATGTATTGTCCCCACTGACTTTGAACTCTCCACTGTCACCGTCTGATTGAATGTCTGTGAAATCACAAAGATGTGTGCGTCCATAATCCCATTACAGATGTGTCTCGGATTATTCAGATATGAGCACATTAGCATCAAATTAGCATTAGCCTCGCATTAGCATTAGCAGGATTAGCGTAACAGGATTATCAGACAGTTCATTCAGAAATTAAATCTGGAATTTACATAAAGGGAAAGAGGGAGGGGGGTTGTAACCAAAACAGGGGTCGCCCGCGTGTCAAAGGCTCCCACTGCAGGGGAGCACTCTGGTCTGAGCCATGGAAGTAGGATACACATTATGCAAATTCCTGATCAGCCAATCATATGGCAGCAACTCACACACATTTAGGCATGTAGACATGGTCAAAACGATCTGCTGCAGTTCAAACCAAGCATCAGAATGGGAAAGAAAGGTGATTCAAGTGACTTTGAACGTGGCATGGTTGTTGGTGCAAGGCGGACTGGTCTGAGTATTTCAGAAAATTCTGATCTGCTGAGATTTTCCCACACAACCATCTCTAGGGTTTACAGAGAATGGTCCGAAAAAGAGAAGAAATCCAGTGAGTAGCAGTTCGGTGGGTAAAAATGCCTTGTTGATGCCAGAAGTCAGAAGAGAATGGCCAGACTGGTTTGAGCTGATAGAAAGGCAACAGTAACTTAAATAACCACTTGTTACAACCAAGGTATGCAAGAGAGCCTCTCTGAACACAGAACATGTCAAACCTTGAGGCAGATGGGCTACAGCAGCAGAAGACCACACCGGGTGCTACTCTTGTCAGCTAAAGACAGGAAACTGAGGCTACAATTTGCACAGGCTCACTGAAATTGGACAATAGAAGGTTGTAAAAAGTTGCCTGATCTGATGAGTCTCGATTTCTGCTGCAACATTCGGATGGTATGGTCAGAATTTGGAGTCAACAACATGAAAGCATGGATCCATCCTGCCTTGTATCAACGTTTCAGGCTGGTGGTGGGGGTGCAATGGTGTGGGGGATATTTTCTTGGCACTCTTTGAGTCCCTTAGCACCAATTGAGCATCGTTGCCACAGCCCACCTGAGCATTGTTGCTGCTGACCATGTCCATCCCTTTATGACCACAGTGTACCCATCTTCTGATGGCTACTTCCAGCAGGATAAAACACTTTGTCATGAAGCTCAAATCGTCCCTAACCCTTGAACATGACAATAAGTTCACTGTACTATAAGGGCCTCCACAGTCACCAGATCTCAATTCAATGGAAAAAGGATGCGGCAGAACAGGAGAGTCGCACCATGGATGTGCAGCCGACAAATCTGCAGAATATGGACCACACTCTCTGAGGAATGTGTCCAGTACCTTGTTGAATCTATACCACGAAGGATTAAGACAGTTTTGAAGGCAAAAGGCACATTGAGGACACAGGCTGTAGATCCAGGACTGAGGCTGTAGGTGTATCTAATAAAATGGCCGGTGAGTGTACATACAAATATACATTTCTTGCACTAGAATATACAGCATTTTATAATTGCTTCTTTATTATGCTGAAGTCAGACATTTATACTTTATGCTAAATTTGGAGATTTTAGCCTTGCTTCTTTTTTACGCTAAGGCTAGAGATTCAATACTTGCTTCTTTATTATGCCAAAGACAAAGATTTTATTATAT